CGCCCGGCCGGGGGGGGTGACCACAAGGCTCTCAGCACCTCCGGCGAGGACACGCTGAGCGACTCAGGTAAAGACCACGCCGGGGCCGGCTGCCTTCCTGGGGTGCTGGCGTGGGGGTGCGCGCCCTTTGTCACTGCTGGTTTAGGCTTTGATGGGGAGCGTTTTGGGAGTAGCGATGAAGACTGAGGGTTGTTTTTTTGTCAAACGGACCCCCAGGATTAGGAGGAGAGGTTGAGTGAGAGTTGCTAAGAAGGTGTTATCCAAAGTGTCACCTTCACTGAAAGTTCCTTCTTCCCGCTGGGGGCCCAATTCCATCAATGGCCCTCATCCGGTCTAGTCGCCCACCTCTCGGCAGCATAAAATCAGTAAAAAGTGGGTGGGAGGTAACGAGGCCGCTGGCTGCATTACTTGGGCAGAAACCTGTTAGCCCTGGGGCGGGGGAGAGGGATTTGACCCAGGTCAGAGGTGGGGAGACACCCCTGAGAAGGCACAGGCATTGTGCAAAATCCTGTGCAGGCACAGAAAGTTAGAGGGAGATTGCGCAGATGGCTTGTAGCAAATTTATTTTTATTTTTTAAATCTGGGTGCTCTTCTCCCCCTCCCTTTGTGGGTGGTGGGCTACTTGCTCCTGGTAGGTGGCCGGCAGGCGGCGATATCCCAGGGAGGCGGAGGCTCTGAATGCCTGGGGGTGAAGGGGCCACCCCTGCCTCCCCCAGCAGCTGGCGGCAAGTCCAGCAGAGGTTGTGTACATTCCCAAGGGGCCGCCTCTTCACGGCGCGCAGTGAGACTGGGTCCAGTTTTGTCTCCGAGCCAGAATTTCCAGGACTAATTTCTGATCCGAGTTGGGTTTTGTAACCCGGTGTCCTTCGAGGTGAGGGCGGGCACTGGGCTGGCCCTCCAGGCACTCACACGCCCTAGAAGCACTCATTGATAAGTTCCATTGTGTGCCTTGGTCTTGGAGGGTAGGGTTAAAAGGAAGACTGCCTGGGGCCCTTGGAGGTAAAGAAAGAACTCTTCCCCAAATACTCCAAACAGCCCTTGTTTTGGGGGCTGGGAGCTTGTGTTCCTGGAATCCCGAAGCCCAGTGTTTTCAGAAGGCAGGCGGATTAAAGGCCTAAATTTCCTCCTGGGCCGAGGACGGATTCCTCTGAGGCTCCTGGAAGGAAGCTTGGTGATAAGCCTCCAGTTTGAAGCTGGTCTGTCCCTTTAATGTCTGTGCCTTGACAGCTCTCGGTGAGGAAGCACTTCCTTCCAACAGCTGTCTTCTTGGCAGAAAACCAAAACATGGGCTTAAAGGGACCCACAGGCTGCAACAGCCTCACATTTCGGCTTCAGAACAAATCCTACAATTGTTGGGCTTTCCGGTCCCCGTCAGATCAAGCAGCAGCAGTGTTTTGGTTTTTCATGCTTGCGTTTTTAAACAATAATTTTCTATCCCGGCACGTAGTAAATGAGGGAGGGGGGGGGTGATATTACACGCCTTTGCTGCTGCAGTTATTACTGGCCACGGAGCAGAGGTGCTCCCATGTTTGGGTTTAGAGCGCCTGTGGATTAGGACTCTCTAGTGAAGACGGGATGTCTGCTAGATGAAAAAAGGGCTTCATTAAATTGTTCTGTAAGTTTGTTTAAGGGCCTAAAATCAAACGCAGCCAAGTGTAGAATTGCTAAATGAGGAGCCTCAATTCTTAAATGTCAGATGGAAATATGAATAAGTTTAGGGGGTAGACTGGCGATGGCGTTAAAAGCTACCATTTACTGAGCATCTGTGTACCAGGCCAGCTCTCTGCATATTACAGGTCCATCTCAAGAACCTTGTGGTTTTGGTCCCATTTAATAGGAAACTAAGGCTTGGAAAGGTTTAGTGACTTGCCCAGGATCACACAACGAGTGTCTGATGGAGGCAGGATTCTGTCTCACCCCCAAATCCAGGTTCTTTCTATATCTGCCACCTGCTTGAGCCTGGAAGCTGAAACTGCTAGGAATATTGGGGAAGGAAAAGATCTAAAGTACATTAATTGAAAAGATCTAAAGTACATTTCTCTTCCCATCTCTGTTGATGGAACCATAATAATAGCAAAAGGCGCCAGGGCCTGGAAGAGGCGGTACAGAGGGAGAGAAAGGTTCTTGTGTCTCACTCTGACAATAACTCCCATCTTGTTCTTGAAGATGACGAAGACGACGAAGAGGAAGACGAAGAGGAGGAAATCGACGTGGTGACCGTGGAGAAGCGGCGGTCCTCCGCCAGCAGCAAGGCCGTCACCACCTTCACCATCACCGTGCGCCCCAAGAGCGCGGCCCTGGGCCCGGGGAGAGCCCAGCCGGGGGACCTGATCCTCAAACGCTGCGTCCCCATCCACCAGCCGCACAACTACGCCGCGCCCCCGCCCTTCGTGGAGAGCGAGGAGGCGCCGCCCCAGAAGAAGATTAAGAGCGAAGTGTCCCCCCGGCCCCTCAAGAGCGTCATCCCCCCGAAGGCCAAGAGCCTGAGCCCCCGCAACTCCGACTCGGAGGACAGCGAGCGCCGCCGGAACCACAACATCTTGGAGCGCCAGCGCCGCAACGACCTGCGCTCCAGCTTCCTCACGCTCAGGGACCACGTGCCGGAGCTGGTGAAGAACGAGAAGGCCGCCAAGGTGGTCATTTTGAAAAAGGCCACCGAGTACGTCCACTCCCTGCAGGCCGAGGAGCACCAGCTGCTGCTGGAGAAGGAGAAGCTGCAGGCCCGGCAGCAGCAGCTGCTCAAGAAGCTAGAACTCGCGCGGACTTGCTAAACGGTTCTCCAAACTGGACAGCCACTGCCACTTTGCACATTTTGATTTTTGTTTTTGTTTTTTTTGTTTTTTTACATTGTGTTGACATTAAGAATGTTGGTTTACTTTCAAATCGGTCCCCTCCCCCCACCCTGTCGAGTTTGGATCTGGGTGGGGAGCAGGACATGTGGGGTTAGTTCTGCCAGGACCTCGGGAGAGAGGGCCTGGGTGATGGGATGCTGTGTGGCCCTTGACGTTTCCTCCGAGTCACCTCCGGGACAGCCGTGGGAGTGCGTGACAGTGGGGAGCCTCTCGGGCTGTGGAAGTCACCTTGTTGCAAGTCTCCAAACATCAGAATGTCATTCCTTTTAAAATGGTGCTTACGTTCCAGCCGATGCCACGGGAGGGGTTTGCCATTGAGACCCCCAGGACACTTCTGTAAATACCACTGACACACCCGCCTTTTGTATGCGTCCGGGTAATGAGAGGTGGCTTTTGTGGCCAGTATTAGACTGGAAGTTCATACCTAAGTACTGTAATACCTCAATGTTTGAGGAGCATGTTTTGTATACAAATATATTGTTAATCTCTGTTATGTACTGTACTAATTCTTACACTGCCTGTATACTTTAGTATGATGCTGATACATAACTAAATTTGATACTTATATTTTCGTATGAAAATGAGTTGTGAAAGTTTTGAGTAGATATTACTTTATCACTTTTTGAACTAAGAAAACTTTTGTAAAGAAATTTACTATATATATATGCCTTTTTCCTAGCCTGTTTCTTCCTGTTAATGTATTTGTTCATGTTTGGTGCATAGAACTGGGTAAATGCAAAGTTCTGTGTTTAATTTCTTTCAAAATGTATATATTTAGTGCTGCATCTTATAGCACTTTGAAATACCTCATGTTTATGAAAATAAATAGCAATTAAATGATGCAGCTTTTTTTTTTTCACCCCCTTGATGGCATGCGAGTTAGAGTATCCCTAAAGCAGTGACCTTCACAGACATAACTTACAGAGGGAATCCTGGTTGGGGAGGGAGGTGGCTGTTGTCCCCACCTGGGGGTGGAGGGAACTGTGCTTAGAAAGGTGTTAAGACATCTCTTCCAGGCTCCACAGAGTAGAGCTATTACTAGTGACTGACTGCATTGTGTAGCAGTGGCACTCATTGTTGGATGTTTCATGGAATTAAAGTAGTGAGCCATGGGCCATTTACTTAGTTTCCTGCTTTTTTATAGATGTGGATCCTTTAAAAGTAAGAAGTAGTCAAGATAAGGTAGTGTAATTGGCTGTATTGGTGTTGGTAAGACTTGTCCCATTGGCAGGTGGCTTTACATTTTGGTGTCAAGTGTAGTTTGTCTCCAAGAACGCATCCTCCCAAATTCAGTGAACTTGGAAGGTTCTAGGCTGGCCGGGCCCTATAGCAGAATATGCATGACGTTGTTCTCTCAAGGAGCTCTCAATCTGATTCACAGAAGTAACTCGAAGTGACAGGCGTGTGGCCCAGATCCAGCGACATGTCCCTTCAGGAGAGTCAGCGGGTGTAGTGTGCTCTGTCCATTTGCAGCTCCTGTCACACAGGCTGGCATTGGGGCTGCCCCGAGGAAGCAGGACCCACCAATGCAGGCTCTGGAGGACAGCCAGGGCCAAAGGGTGGGGGGCAGGCACCTCTTCGAGGAAGGAGTTTCATTTTCCCTGATGGGAGGTGACAGCGCCTTTGGGGCGGCTTGGGAGGTATTCTACTTAGACCTGAAAGCCTGTACAAACCCATTTCTCACTCAGGTGAAAGGTACTGGGTTATTTTTCTAAGATTTCATTCTGATTTTTAGCTTTGAATTGAAAAGGGCCTTTTGCTTTCTTTGAGAAGAAAACGGCCGGGGATGAGAATTTGCTTTACTTGTCTGGTCACAGCTTGGGGGGGGGGGGTAGAAGAGAGGGCAGAGATGGGACCGGAGCCTGTCTGCTTTGGCTGCTTTATAGAGGCCAGTGGGAGGTTAGAACCTCCTTACTCCGTTCACAGCCACACATCTCAGGGCTCTGAGGCTGGTGCTGCCATGGACATTGCTGATGGCCAGGCCATCCCCACACTAGAAAAACAACGAACCTGCTTTGAAAGTCCATTTTAAATTGTCATTCAAAAGGCTTCCTGACCATTCGCACTTTATGAGACTCTAACCACCTTGTTTGTGTAATCCTGAACCAAAGGAAAGATCAGTGACCAACTTTGAGGTCACTGAGCACCTGAGGTGCCTAGCTTCTCTATTTGTGGTGCCCACAGGGGCCTATCTGGGTGTTTTCAGAGGAGCTGGAAGTCTAGCCATGGAGGAGGGAAATAAGGAGGCCCTAAACTCATTCCTACCATGCTCCCTTTTTGCTCTGGCCACTGGGAAGCTCAGAGCCAAATTCCATACTCCCATTCTACATATCTGGTGCCCATTCTCTTTCTAAATGTCTGTGATCTCTTGGTGTCTGTTTTTTAGGAGCTGGGATTGGCCAGCATCTGGAAGCCTTTTCAATCTCTTGTTTTTGATTTTCAGTTTAACAACTTTTTAAAATGTTCTTTATTAAATTTCACTGAGAAGTTTTTTTGCATTAGGTGGCTCATGAATATGTATTTAAGTCTTAAAACTAAATACCACTTGCCTTTTTTTGGCCCAGCTGAGGGAAAGTGTCACCCAGTTCAGCTCTGAGTTATCGATAAAGTAATTGCTGGAGTCACAGAGGAGTTGAACCACTTGTTTCAATCACCAGAGAAACCGTGTTTGCATTCCAAGAGCAGCTTTGAAATGGCTCTACAGCAGGGAGATCAATAAATCCCAGGACTTAGGTGGAGCCCAGAGAGCATCTCCCTGAATGACTTCATTTTACTCCCAGTAGTTCACCCCACTTAGGGGAGAAAGCCCAAACCCCGCAGCTTGACACAGGCTGTCCCCACCCTGGCTCACCAGCTCCTTCACCTACTCCCCCTGACCCCTTACACACACAGGTGCCCCTCATTCCAGCCACACCAAATGCCCTGGAGCTTTCTCACCTGGGCTTGTTTCACCACATCCCCTCCTGACTCATCCAGCTTCTGTTTATTGAAATCCTTTCCAACCTTGAGTAGCAAACCCAATGCCATCTCGCCCAGGAAGTCTGCCTTGCACCCCCAGGTGGGCCCTTAGCTGGTGATGTTGCGTCACTTCTGGAGAGAGGAGAGGTGGCCCAATCACTGTCTTGACCATGGCTCCCCTAAGGCAGTCACAGTGGCCCATTTACCCCTGACTTCAGCCCCAGCCTGGTGACTGACCGATGGCAGGGCCTTGGTGGATGCCAGCAGAATGGCTGGTGGCTGAGTAGCAGCGGAGGGAGGAGCCAGGTGAGGAGCAGATGGGGCCGATTTCCATGACAGGTGTGTCTCCTGCCATCCCCAGGTCCCTTAGGCATCAGTGAACTGGCAGTCCTGACTGTGAGGGGGCTGGGGGGACCTGTCTTCAGGAAGCCCACAGTCTGGACAGGAGGGGAGATGGGAGGGACTGGTGGGGGGTGGGGGACTGTGTTAGGCTCTGTGCCTTCAGGCTCCCAGTTGGGAACTCCTTTGGAGGAAGCCGGTTTGCTGGTCTACCAGAGCTCACAAGATGCTGACTCTTGTCTGAAGCACAGGCCACCTACCCTATGGTGACAGTGGTTTCAATGCCTCCCACTTCCGTGAAGCCCTGTGTAGACCACTCAGTTTTACACTTGAGCCTCACGATCTTTCAGGAGTGTTGACCAGTTCGTCATATTTCATTTGGGGAGCTGGGTCTTTCGGGTTTGACTTTCATTAATCTCTATGGTGGTTATCTCTTGAAAGCCTTAATGTGGGTTGTCTTTAGAATCAGCCATGATTAGATGTGGGCGAAGCTTGGAAGCCATCAGCTCAATCTCCCATTTCAGAGGTGGGACACCAGACAGGGAAGGAGGAGCATCCTGTGTGCCCACCAGGATTCTTTTCTTTCTCTTCCCTTCCTCCCCACTCCTTCCCTCTGTCACGCTCTCCTTCTCACAGTTAAATTTATTTAGCGCTTACCATGTGTCAACCACTGTTCCAGACACTTAAGAGACATCAGTGAACAAAAGAGACAAAACTCCCCCAAAGCCCTGCTTTCATGGGCTTTGTAGTCTGGGAGAGAGTGACAACAATAAAATAAACGCAATACGTCAATGACTCAGATAGCACTCGGGAAGGTGGTGGGTGCTGCGAGAAGTGAGTGGAATAGGAGGGAAGGAGTCTGGCAGCCACAGCAGGAGGGAAATGGGGTGCCTTTTGGGGTGAGACAGTCAGGAAGATGCAGTGAGACAGGGCGCTGTTGTGGCTGCTCTCATACCAGGAGACAGCCCCCCCACCCCCCACACCCCTGCCCGGCTTCCCTGGTGGGTGTTCTTCCTCCTCCATCTCCCTCTGGTCACTGGCAAAGGCTCCCCACCAACTTCTTTCTCTCTTTCAAGGGGGAGCACTAGAGTGGAGCGGGGAGGAGTGGGATCTGAATGGAGAGTCCCTGGTATGACTCTGACTCCCACACCCACGCGCTCTGGGCTGTGCCGCTTCCCCACTGGTCCAATGATGGCAAAACCCACATCTTGGGTTTTAGGGGGTGACGGGAGCTGACTTATATATGGCACATGGGATAGCACCTCGAACCTGGGTGCAATTGAATCTATTAAATAACCTGATTTCTCGTTGACATGATACTTCCTCTATTTTCCTATGTTACTAGAGCAAAGAATCTTCAAGAAAACATTTACTGGTAAAACAAATCCACAAGCCTGAGCTTAGCAAAAACGCTGTAGACTTTTGTTCCTCCAAAGGGGCCGTACAAAACCTGAAAACGGGTTCCCTGGAAACAAATGAATGTGCGCTTTGAAGCCTATTGAAGACGGGGCCTAGGAATTTGAGTGCCCCCAAACATCTACGCCGTCCATAATGGTTTATTAGTTTTCCTTGCTTGTAAAGGAAATCTCTTCATAGGCCACTGACCAGGGCTACCTGATCTCTTCTGATATTGACAGATCATGCTACAGGACATTCATCCCGAAACCTTTGACCAGAAGTAACAGAGCCTTTTTATGGTCGAAGCCGACCGGCCTGTTGGTACAATGCCCAGTTGGAGAACACACACGGCACGGACCCCAATGATAAAACACGCAATTTCGTGGGATGTACTCTGAAGAGGCAATGCAACATGGGCTTTCTTCTGCACTCCAGCAGGCCCAAGATTTTCAGCAGGCTCTTGGGAGTGGGGTGAGGTGGGGCGGGGTGGAAAAATTAGTCCATTCCTTCAGAAATCCACAGCTTGTTTTGGGTTGAATTTTGTGTCTTAGGCCATCCTCCACCATTTGTCTGAGGGAAGGCATAAAAGCAGTCCCCCGTCCCCACCCCACTCCCGCCCCACCTTACAACATCTTGTTCCACGTGGACTGGGAGGCAGCCCTGGGTAATAGAAATACTTAGTTTGCAGGCGGAAGCCCTCGGATGTAAGCTCGTTGTTCATCAGTTTCAACCTTGGCACAGGAAGGTAACAGTCTGTGGCTCAGTTGTCATGTCTGTAGGTGGACGGGGCTGGAGCTGGTAATCCAGTGCTGAGGGTGGAGAGTCATGGATCCGCAGGGATGGCTGGGACCGCTGCTCTGTCTGCAGGGCTTGTGCTCACTCTCCACTCGGAATCCCAGACACACATCTCCACTCACCAACTCTGTGGCCAAGGGCAAGTCCCTTCCCTTTGAACCTCAGGTTGTCATCCCTGAAACAACAGTAACAATCACCGAGGTTCTTACTGGGATCAAATGACAGGAAGTGTAAGAGGGGTGGGTGGCACTTGGGAAATTGGGAAGTCTAGGAGGTCTGGGCCAGCATGTCCCTCCCATGTCTCTGT